CCCCAAAACCCCAAAACCCCAAAACCCCAAAACCCCAAAACCCCAAAACCCCTCCCATTTAATTCCAGTTGAAATTACTCCACAACTACTCCTCTTCATCCTCTCCTTCAGCTTCTTCCTTCTCTTCTTCCTTCTGTTCTTCATCATTATCGTACTTGATGTCTTCGCCAGTGCCGATGAGGATTCAGTTGAGGGTGAAGGCGAGGAGGAGTGTGATGAAGCAGATTAGAGCGACGATGTAGTATTTAACACCGTCTTCGTAGTCGTCTACTAACTTCTCACATTTATCTCCACTATATTCTTTGTAACAATATCAAGTGAAATTCCTGCAAATCCCATGATCATAACACCCTTCATCGCAATCATCGAGAGAATCTCCTCTACTAACATTATTCTGTAGTATAACTCTATTAATCTGCCATTCACGTGCATATCTTTGGAGCATAAACTGAGATGCTTCTCGCCTAAAGAGCTCTCTTGACTAAAACTTACCTTGCTAGATTGATGATCTTCTCATCCAAATACTCATCAGTGATATCGCCAGTTCCGCTGAGTTGCTGGAGCCTCTGTTTCTCTATATAGTATTAGAACCTAGATTATACCTTCGCTGATCAATCTCTCATTAAGCTCTTTACTCTGGTGCTGCTCTCTTCTCTTCTGAGGGCTATAGAGCTTAACCACGAACGAAAGGTAGAAAGTGGGGCATTTTTAGTTACAAAATTATAAACATCCATTTCAAAGTTTAGAATAAACGACTGAATTGGTAAATACAAGAGACTGGGAAAATTTAACTTTTGTAACAACAAGCTTTCGAGAAAATCTGGAGTAATACCTTCTGATATAATTATCGAATTCTGAGTCTTCCATCGCCCTATAACATTTTCAGGTATTTTCAAGGTCATCTCCCAGCTTTAGCTGGGAGATTGAGAAAGAATAGCTTTACGTTGTAGACCCAATTGTGAAGGAATTTATGGCACTGCATAAAACCAGTAATCAAGCAAGAATAAGAACTTTCATTGGTAATCAGAAACTTCAATAAATTTTATAGAAAATGGGGTTTTGGGGTTTTGGGGTTTTGGGGTTTTGGGG